TTTTGACAACTTATAAATGAAATAAGTAATCTTTTGAAAGATGTTTATAACAAACAATTACACAATTATCATTGTGTTCAACTTGTATTCCCCCCTTAAAAGCATTTAAAACAGTTAAAAGATTCATTATGGGGTATGAACTCACCTGATGTGGGTGATTCAACGGATATGCGTGTAAGGATGAAAAGTTCCACGAATGAAGTCCCGAGACACAAAAAGTCCTAAATGACATATATTGGCATGAATATAGTCTTTATAAGCAACTATATGAAAGGAAACACCTTCCGGGACTAGGAAACACTTAGACTAAGTGTTGGAATCACATGTGATTCATCAAAGGGAAGTAGAATGGCACCAACATGAGTTTACTACCATGGGTTTACGGCCAAGGGAGTTTACGACCGTAAACTCATGGTCAAACATGCCTAAATGTGGGTTTGAAGGCTAGGGAAGCTTGAGGGATTTTTGCTCTACACAATGGTGAGAAAGACCACCTCAATGGAGTCTTTGGATGAGTTTACGGCCCAAAGGAGTTTACAGCCGTAAACTCATGGTCATTCATGCTTATGAGAGAAGTTTAAGGTCCTATAATCATCAAGGAAGGGTTCTAGGTCACTAGCTTTGCATCTAGGAGGGTTTATGGCCAAAATGGCACCCTTAAAGGGGTTTATGGCCATGGGAGATGGCTTGGCCGTAAACTCCTTTTGTTCTTGTGTTCTTGATGTTTTCAAGTCTCTAAGCATGAGTCCTAACTAGATATGAAGTATAGGGAAGGGTACTTACGATCTAGATGCTTGAAATGGTCGATTTTGGCCAAGAACACTAGTGTGTGTTCTTGGTGTTCTTGGTGAAACTTGAGGATCTAGCAAAAGAATTATTTCACGGATGGAATCATGGAAGGATACTAGATTAAGATATGTATCAACAAATCAAGGAAGAACACTTACCACCTATGAAGATCTAGGATGAAAATCGTGATGATAGTTGAGAGAGAAATGGGGTGTTCTTGAGGTGGAAGTGAGATAATGAAGAAAGATGAAGGATATGAGCCTATAAGGGGGAGTTTACGTCCCACCTTGAGTTTACGGCCGTAAACTCAAGTGTTGTGGCTGTGAAATCTCAAAGAGAAGGTTAAGGCTCGATTTCTTGGACAGTGTCTCAAGCAGGTACATTCTAACACTCATTCCTTAAGTGTACTAGGCTTAAAACTCCTTAGAATGACCTTTAACCGGGCTAGAACTCATTACCAATGAGTCTGACACTCAGTTGAGTTGATTGACTGGGCTTTAAAAGTAAAAAAATTTCGGGTTGTCACATGCAGAGTTAGTAGAAGTTTCATGAGTAAGTGTGATTTATAGAAGTCCAACATAAAGGATGATTATCTACTCTTAATAGGGTGAGTATAGGATGTATGAGTATCCTAGTTGTTGGGCTATGTGGTCGGGTGGTTTGTGATGATTCTTTGAGACAAATACGGGTAGGTGTAGAAGGTAGTATGGGCCCGTACTACTGAAAGCATAAGACTCGTATGCGTATCAAGGAAGTTACGAACCCCGAGGATTTTGTGATTCTGCAATGATGTAGTAGTATGAATTGTGGCTTTTTCTGATGTATTTCGGTTTGTTTCAGTATGAAGATCACTAGAGGTTCAAAATCAGGAGCTGGCGAACCGGAGAGGCCAAGATTGGCCGATGATGAGATTCGTGATATGATCACCACCCAGGTGACCATGGCCGTTAGGGAGGTGATCCTGGAGGTGTTTAGGTCTATTAAGAGCGCCATGATCGAGTTGTTTGATGAGCGCTATGCTACCGTCTCAGAGGTTGATGCTGCCGCAGCCTCAGAGGGGGTTCAAATGTCCTGTTACTTGAGCATGCTAAAGACTGAGATCAGGGAGTTTGTGTCGACTTAGAAGTATCGTTCCATCTCTGAGTTGTAGTCGGTTGCTCAAAGATAAGAGATTGAGATTGAGACCCAGACTAGAGAGAGGAGGCATGCCCTAGTTCAGACTCAGCCAACAGCGAAGCGGTTCAAGCCCTTCGATTCACGATGTGGAGGCCAGCGAGTTCGTACTTGTGGCAAGTGTGGAAAGATGCATGAGGAAGCGTGGCGATCAGTGACTGGGTGCCACAAATATGGCAGGGAAGACCGTGTTGTGATTGATTACCATCAGCATGCCCCACTGTCGAGCACTAGGATTTGCTACCATTGTGATCAAGTCGACCATGTGAAGGCCAGTTGTCCATTTCTCGTTGCTAGACCAGTGCAGGTACCAATTCCTACTACCTTGAGGATTACAGACGGATGCCAGGGGAGGGTTGAGGCCCCGAAGGCCAGGGGTCATGCTTTTCAGCTTATAGCAGAGGAGGCCAGGGTGGCGCCTAACGTCGTTACTGGTATGTATTCATTTATTATTCTTTCAATTTATTTCCTATATGCTTATGCTTGTGTTTCTGATAGGTATATTCTTTTTGAATTCATTGCTTGCTCTTGTGCTTTTTTACTCGGGTGCGAATCGGTCCTTTGTAACTTAGTCCTTCTATAGAGATTTCGGTATGTCCCTTGGGAAGTTGGAGTATCCGTTGTCAATTTCCATCGCCAACGAACACAATGTTTCTGCTTCGAGTGTTTTCGGTGATTGGTTTTTAGAGATGTTTAGGGTGTCCTACCCCATTGACTTGATCCCCATCTTAATGGGGGATGTGTGTGGATAGTGGGGATGGATTTTAAGCAGGTTTGGGGCCATGATCGATTGTGAAAGGCAGTTGGTGGTAGTTTGAACCCCAAGTGGGGGAGAACTAACCATATATGGAGAGGGTACCAGGATTGGATCTGCATCCTGTTCGGAAGCCAGGGCCAGGTAGTATCTCCAACATGGATGTATGGGTTATCTCACATATGTGATTGACAATCTTTTTAGCTTATTGACTTTTTCACTATAAAAATTAATCCAAACACTTTTTTATAAACTCTTTTTACTACCACTATAAGTCAATAAACACTTTTGTCTAAAAGCACTTTTAAAGTTCAAAAAGCAATACACCCCTAATAACTCTAAATCTGCTATGGTTCGCCGAAAAAATCGAACACCCAACAAAAACTTCATATGGTGCTTCAGTTTGAAGATCGAACACCCTACAAAACCTTAGAACTCGAAGCAACATCCCGTAAAGGACTTAGCTGATGCTACACTAGGTGAAGCAGCAAGTGTTATGTGTGTGTTTTAGAAAGAGAAAGAGAGAAAATAGAATAAAGAGAGAGAGGAGGGAATAGAAACGTGGAAAATGTGTTTCACTTAATAAACTCATATCGTTGGAAAAATCATAATCAACGTAGAAGATGGTCGGAGTCTCACCGGAGTTGTCAAACATACCAGAAACCGGGTAAACTTACGATAGCAGGTCATATGGATGTTTTTTTTTGAAGAGTTTAAATAAATTTAAGACAAAGTTTCACAATTGGTCCCTGTGGTTTACAGAATATCACACTTTGAGGACTTCCTAGCAAAAAGTCACGCCACTGGTCCTTATGGTTTCAATTCATTGCGCGATTGGTCCTTGACCTTAACCCCGTCACTTTTGTACCGTTAGTGCAGGGGTAATTTTGTCTTTTCACCTCGTTGTGCATCAAAGTATATAATGTAAGCCCCACTTTGTATTCTTCTACTTAATGGCCGAAGACAAGTATCTCCAAGTTCAAGAAGAATGGCAATGTCTCCAGGCAGGCGGTTGTCTAGTGGAGTTAAAGTTTCTCCGACAACTGATTCCGACAACAAGAAAAAGATGGCAACTTTAGCTGCTGAGATTTCAAAGGTTTCAGAGGCACTTGTTGGGTCTTCCACAAAATCAAGTATAAAGAATTGGGATGAAACAGAAATGAAAGAGATGGGTGGGATTAACAGCAAATCGGATTTGAAGCCTCACCGCCACCACCTATTGCGCCACCGCACCACCCCCATCACCATCAACCGACCAATCAAAATCCCTCACTCTCTGGATCGAAGCCGCCCTAGCCACCGACCTCGAAGTCATCTCCCTCTTAGCAGAACAAGGGTTCGAGACCCCGGTTCAGCCCCAAAAGAAAACCCAATCTAAAATCCGACCCGATTCAGGCTCAGGTTCAACCCTAATCGAAACAATGAAATCCCATTTGACGATTTCTTCTTGTAAATCTTCTTTTAATGGGTTGTGGATTAAGGGGCGTGGGGTAAATTAGAGTGTGGAATTGGGGATGAAATTGCAGAATGAGATGCATATTTGGTTTTTGAAAATTGTGGAGGAATCGTTGGATGCGAGTTTTCAGGTGTTTGAGAAGAATGGTGGTGGGACCGGGATCGATTCAGCAGAAGTGGGGCCGATTAAGGTGATTTTATTGCAGCTGAAGCGGATTAATGACTGGTTGGACAGGATGGTTTCGAAGTAGGATGAGGTGATGACCGGAGCGGTTGGCCGGTTGAAAGGGAAGATTTACAGGTTTGTGATTCAACATGTTGGAACAACATATGATAACTCATCTTGAATCTTGATGCCGAATTTTGCTTTTTTTTTTGTTGGGGCTTACATTATATACTCTGATGCACAACCAGGTAAAAAGACAAAATTACACCTACACTAACGGTACAAAAGTGACGGGGTTAGGGTCAAGGACCAATCGCGCAATGAACTAAAACCATAAGGACCAGTGGTGTGACTTTTTGCTAGAAAGTCCTCAAAGTGCGATATTCTGTAAACCACAGGGATCAATTGTGAAATTTTGTCTAAATTTAATGGGCAAATATAAATAAAAGAAACTTAGTGAGTAAATATGTACTGTAAATCAACCAATTACCTTTTAAGTGATTTCCCTAGTTTTAAAAACTCATTCTCCTCCCTACATAAAAACCAAACCCTAGAAAGTCATAACATAACCATCCATAGCACCAAAACTCATTCTCCTCCCTGCATAAAAACCAAACCCTAGAAACTCATAACAATAACCATCCATCAGCACCGAAAATCAAAATGTCAGGCGACATTAGTTTCCATATTCAAGAGGAAATCTTGAGAAAGCTTCCTGTAAAATCATTGATTCGGTTTAGATCTGTGTGCAAAGCATGGAAGCGTTTAATCGAAAGCTCTTATTTTATCGCTGCTCACAGTGTTGGACAAGATGAGCGGCAGAATCTTTTAGTAAGGCATCTTGTAGAAGGGAAGGCAAAATATGTTTGTATTGTCGACGATGACACTTTCCCCCAACAGAGGTTTGTTCCAACTCTTCCCCTCTCCTTTCAACGGCTTCAAAGGTCAATCGTGGTCGGTAGCTGTAATGGGTTGTTGTGCTTGGATGGGTATTACTATGAGAAATCACATTCCCTTCTTGGAAAGCCGATGATTATGCTTTGGAATCCTTCAATCAGAAAATCGATCGCTATTGCTGTGCCTGAGCCTGGTATGTCTAATAAGATGGATGAAACAGTTTTTGGTTTTGGTGTTTGTCCTGTTACTCATGATCCTAAGATCATCATGATTCGACAACTTGCTCCCTTACATGAAAAACCCAACAAAATTAACGACCCTCGCGAAGTTATGCTTTACACATTGAGTTCTGGGAATTGGACAAGTCTATCTACTGCTTCTAGCAATGTTCCGAGTAAATCAGTCCGAGTCCAATGGTATGGGCAAGTTATTGATAGGTTTATATATTGGTCTGGTTTGCATCTTAAGGCTTTAAACAGTAGGCTGATTAGATGGACTTGTAATCTGATTCTTTCATTTGATATGATTAATCATACTTTTCAAGTGATAGATCTCCCAGACAGTTTGGCGAAACACCCTCCCTCTAAGATCTCCATTTCTAAGCTAAGGGAATCGGTTGTCATATTTGAAAGCAATGAAAAGGAAAAACATTGTCATGATGTTGTATGGGTGATGGAGAATAATGGTGTTGAAAAATCGTTTACAAAGGTATTCACCATTATTGCACCAGAATATGGGTCGTCTATTAGGGCAATGGGACTCAGGAACAATGGAACGCTTATAATGCAAGTGAAAAAAGATTATCGTTGTGAAGAAAGTGAAATTGTTGTATATGAGCCCAAAACACAACACTTGAATGCTCTTAAGATTGATGGAATAAGGAGTTTCTCCGGTGTGAATTCGTACAAGGAAACACTACTTTTGCTTGGTAGTGAATAAGTTGAAAAAGATGGCTTTGAGTTTAAGACTTTTTTGAATAGGTTGTTTCCTTTTACCTAAATGGACTTAATCAAGTAAGCTAAATATGACTTTCTTTATGATTTGATGTTTGTGTTTTGATGCAAGTTCAGTGTTATGAGAGTTCACTTTGTGGCATATGGCTGATGACATCAAAATTCTAATGACTATCTTTTAAGTGATATGATATGCCAACATGTTACTTTCATTTCTTTCTAGATACAACACCGAACTTTAAAAATCTACCCAATAATAGCATGTACTTACAAAACATTTTCTATTAGGACATTATATTTTGAAATATCTAGCCCATATAAACAAATCAATAAAGGTATGTTATTATTTCTTGCATTTTAACTCTATAGCTTAGAAGTCAAAAGGGACGAAGAAAATATTACAAATATTTTAGATTAGAGAGTTGACCCCAAGAGGGTGGAATAGATCCACTAAACTTATTTCGTGTAAGATTTAGATTTGTAATTTCACGAAGTTACTAAGATCGGGCAACTCAGCTGATAAATTATTATCATGTAAATCCCTGCATAAAAATGTGAAGAAAATCCGAGTTATTTTGTTATCAATATGATTTTCTTAAACAAGAAAAAAAGTATGTAAGGTCATTGGAGTTGATTTTAACGTATATTAAAGAAGCATTTGTAATTATATAAACAACCATCACACATCAAAAGAGCCTCTTGCTCAAAAGATAAAGATTTTAGGGAAGTCTTATAGCTTTGGTTATGTAAATCATCACTATAAGATGGGTACTAATTTAATCTATCTAAAGAAAAAGTCAATATTTTGGCTTTAGTCAAACCTTGTGACTTTAAAACTAAAAACTAGATTAGATATCTCAGTTTTATCTTCAGATGTTTTTAATTCAAAAATCTTAAATATATTTTAATGTAATTATCAAGCTTTTCAATGTGTTAATAGGTTTAACACACTGAAATTTGGTAAATCACCATAAATTATTAATAAACTAATCTTATTCTACAAAAAAAAATGACATTAGGGAATCAAACATTGTGACCTTAAAATTAAAAATTAACATACGTTTTTCTAGTTTACATTGCCAAAATATCTTTAACTTAACAACTTTTTATTTATTTAGATGTCGTTATCAACATTTTTAATGTGTTAAAAAGCATATTTTTGTCAATTTTAAAGTTTAAGATTAGCATTATTGACACGCCAAAAGTAAATCCTGATACCCTTCAGAAAATTGTAGTATTATTTAAAAGTCATTTTTTTAACAAATGTCTAAATGTAATACACATAAGGCACTGAAAGTCTTAAATCACGTCAAGTTGGTTATAGTTTACTCTATCCAAAAAGTCAACCGTTTTGACTTTAGATGATCAAACTATGTGAGTTAAAACTAAAGAATTAGCATAGGTTTTTCTCGTTTTATCTCCAAATGTCTCTAACTTAACTACTTTTCTTTTCTCAATGTAAATAAATGTAAGCATTTTTTAACAATTTTAAAGTTAAAGAACAGATTATTTGACACATAGAAAGTCAAATTTTGACTTCCTTTAGATGAGTGCAGACTTGCAGTAGCATTTAAAAATTTATTTTTTCACCAAACTTAATACACATTGGTGGTCAATAAGAATTTTAATCGAGTATGACACTTACAAATAAGTCAAAAACTTTTGTTTGGTTATCTAACTTGAAAGTTTCCCAGAAAAATGAATTGAACCCAAGCTCCTGCATCTTGATGTGTAAAAAAAAAAGACAATTATATTTATAAGTAAACTATGTTACCATTTTTTGTACATAAGCCCAGTCTTTTTACTCATGATATGACAGAATACGATATGACAGAAAAGATTATACTAAGTTTGGGGTGCATTACCCTTTTTTCATAAAGATTCAAGTATGTTGATTCTAGGAGGGGTTGTCTCAGTGTGTGTAGGATCCTGCTAAATTTCCGACATTCGTAGCTTAACTATGTGATTTCCTATATACTTTAGTACTTTAAAAAAACCATCACATATCTTGGAATGTTCTACAGCTCCACAATGTGCATCAAGAATGATCTTGATGAGAGTGATTGAATCAAAACCGACCAACTAACTATGCCACACAAGCCAGTTTATCGATTGGCTCCCAAAAATCTTTTCCCATCTTGTTATATAACCTACATAAACATTTTTAACATATTAGTTTTTATTCCAAGGAACCAACTTAATCAACGTCGCTTCAGAAAATAGTTACAAAGATTCCGGTGTGCAAATTTAGCAATATTTATATGTATTCATAAATTTCTATATATTTCTTTCACTATTCTAATTTATTATCTAAATATAACTACAAATATATTTTCTTAAGTATAATCTTATTTGGGTTATGTGGTGGACGCAAATTCAAAATCAAGGGGTTATGTGGTTTACTCCACATGCTCCATGACGGTTATCGAGGTATGTTTCCAATTATATCAATGTCATCTGAATAGAGAGCAATTTTCACTTCTATAATTGTTAGGTTTTTCAAAGCATAATCTCCTGAAAAGAAAAAAGATTGAAAGTACAATGATATAATTAGGTAGATGATTTAAAGTAGAATGCTTCTAAGTAGTTTTGCATCATGTAACGTGCAACACTGGTAAAAGAAGAAGGTAATATAATAGGTTGTCTAAATTCCGAAATATTCTTATTCCCCTGATGTTGAAACTTACTCAAATTCTCATAAGATTCACATCGAAGAACTTGTTGTTTATTTCGTACGTAATATAACCTCTCGCTTTCAATCATTGTATAACGATCTACCAAAAACTGTTGAAAAGGCCTTTCTGAATTCAAAATCAATGAGAAAGAATGATCATTGTCTTGAATTCTGTAACCGAAAAATTCCCTCATTGTAGTGTTTGGACGCTTGTTATCGCTCGAAGACGTAACACCTTTATGAAGGATATCAACTCTATAATCATCGTCACCATATGGAAATAGTAGAGGATACTCTAGAGCAATGTAAGAAGGATGTAATTCACTGATACAACGTAAAGCTCCAGACGAAGTTTGCACAACAATGTCTCTGTTATCAATAAAATCACCAATGTCTCCTACAATTACAGCAGCGACCTTAGAAGCAGTTGGTAGGTTATATGTCATTCCATCATGTTGTCTTTTTCCAATAATTCGTAACTTTAGGTCATCACGAGGATTTGAATTAAAAACATCTCTAACCATTATATAATACTTGACCAACTCATTATTTGAATCCAACATAAGCTTCAAATCTTCTATAATTTGAAGATCAGTTGAATCATGATGTAGACACATGCTCGCTTCCCCAGTAAATAAAAGTATTTTATTACACACATGAGTAATATAAAATTAATATTGTTAAAGTTATAATAGATAGTAATAGTAAAATTGAATACATACCAGAAACATTTATGTCTATTTGTGGTTTCATTTTCGGTATCATATATGTACAATTGAGATAATCTTGGTTGACATCCATTTGAATGGAGAAGGCTTCCGATACTATGATAATTTTGATCGCTAAACCTGAATATGTATGGTGCGTTTCCTTTATTAATGGATGAATCAACTTTCCCACCCATCGACGTAAATGAAAACATTAAATTGTAATGACAGATGTTTTTCATGAAGTGTTTGCTTTTAGAATCTACTGCACGATAAAGGTGTTTTGAAGTTTGCGGTGGTTCTTTTAAAGGAGGTAGTTCTACCTTACCATAACCACAACAAAGAGAAAAGATTTTATTTCCAGTTTTATTGCCTCTTCAAGATTCGTCTTTCCATAATTTAGCATGACATAGTTCACAAACAACATTCTAATGACCATGATCTAGATAACATGTTAAATAGGACATTACAATAAATGTAAGTATAAAAAAAGTTAAAATTACCAAATTAAAATATGTAAAATCTTGTTTATGATTATTACCTTTTGGTATACCAACATGTGTGGGTAGGATAATACCTCTACCATTAATATCATGATTTGTGGTTAAGTCAAATATAGGTATAGAAGATATATGTGCAGACTTTTTTTTTTAGTTGTGTACCCGTGAAGAATTTTTTTTGGATGAATAACTGTGTGTGGCCGCGGATAAATTGGTCGATTTCTTGGAATTAGAAGATGTAGAATATCGTCGGTTATTTGATAAGGGTGTTGGACCATTATGTTGACTGCTACAAATAGCTGAAAGAAAAATAGTTTGTTAATCATCTAGTTATTGTAATGTAAAATAATATTGTATGTATAATAAAAAAATATGCATACCATCATACATACTTATAAAGCTAGCATTTTTCCTTGAAACCTCATGCATTTGAAACCCCCATAAAAATTTGCAAACACCTCATGCATTTGAAACCTCCTATATTAATGAATACCACTCAAAAGTCTCTTAATAATGATTAACAATTCAAAGGTTTTATAACTTATATAATATATTTAATAAACAATTAATGAATACTCTACTATAAAAAGGTCAATCTTTTTGAGTAGACATACAAATACAAATCACATACAAAATTTACAAAGAAAACAAGTTTAAAGTTTTTTGTGTTGGTTTGAGGGCTTTGAACAATTTTTCGAGCCATGTTATTATGTTGAAGTTTTTAATTTGTAAGTTTGTTATATACTAATTCTTTTTTGTATTTTCTTGATTTAAGTATTCTTTTAAGAATATCATTGTATGTTGTGGTTGAAATTTTAATGTAAATTAGATTAGATTCATGTTATCGATCATATGTTATGGAAGATGATATATATAATATTTAATTAACTATTGTGTATATGTTTGTATGTTCATGTTGCTTCAAAACAATAATTAATTAAAAATCATGGATATGTCATATTATCCATATTATCCATGTAAGCCTTTTTTAAAATGCAAATCGTCTATCTTATCACTCTATATTTTAGTATATGTTTAAAACTTTAATTATAACAATAAGTGTTTATTAAAATTTTCTTTCACTTATTAATAATAACAAGTGGTT